GTGATGCTTGGTTGATTTATTTAAAGTAAGGATATAAAATGGCATATATCCTTACTTTAAAAGGATTCCTTTTATGTTGCTTAAGTGATTTAGGGTCAGCTTGCTTAGAGAGAGAATTTATGGCCAACACTTGGACCGACACGTGGCTGTAAAGCTTTTCAAATTAAAAGGGAAGGAGAATATCTTATTTTGATTGATGTGTAAGATCAACCTTAATTTAATGCACAAATAAGAACATAGACTTTATGAAACCTAGATTTTATGTTATTTATTAACTTCTAATTAACTTAACTCTGGAATGTTTGTTTGGTTTAGCTTGACCAAAATCAGTTGTTTAAATAGCTTTAATTTATTCTAAAATATTTCTTAAAATTCACAAGAATGTAAATATTTTCTTACCCCATTGTTTAAGCCTTTAATCCGCCTTACTGAAAAAAATCTCTTTTTCATTATTTTTTGTTAGCACAACTCTACTCTTATTTTATATCAAAATATTAACTTAAGAAGCTCAAACCTTGCTCAAATCAGCTGTGCAAATAAAGAGTGTTATAAGCTTTTATTAAACAAATGAAAAGTGGGCTATGAAAATGAACAAACCTTCTAAAAAGAGCAAGCCAAGAGATGTAGTTACTATAATTTCCATTACCTTGTCCACGTGGGTGTGCCGTATGCCTATGTGTTATTCGTGGCACACTTTTTTTTTTTTGTTTTTTGGCCGAAGCCAAAGCAGAAGCCGGGTTTAACTGGGGCCCCCAGCCAGTGGCAGACATTGCAATGGCCTCGCTAGGAAGCACTTGGGCGGCGGCAGTTAAGGCAAACATCCTGCCAGTCCTCCCACCGCATGCCTGCACCCCCCCTCACCCCCTCGGCTGGTGCTAATGCACTTGCACTCGGTGCAAGCACATAATTCGCTGCCCTCGAGCACACATGCAAGAGCGGCCGACACTCGAGAGCCGCCACAAGTACAGTACGACCCAACACCCACTCGGAAAGGCCACCCTCCTCCTCTTTCTGCTGCTCTCACCTTTTCCGGCTTACAGTGGCTGCTAATTAAGCGGAACCCTAACGCTTCACTGGCCATAAACTATAAGGGCCAATAATGAGCAACGCGTGACGGCTGCGAGGGTCGAATGGTATATATTTTTAATTGGAAATTTTTATTAATGGCGAAGAATGAAAATAATTATGTGAGAAAGTGAGAGAAGGGGTAATATAAAACCCGCACTCGAGGGGTTTTATTAAAATAAAATTTATAGAAAAATCTATGCTAAGAGCAGAAGAGGTTTTCCATTAAAGGTTCATTTTAATAATTATAATTTTAAATTAATTCAGTTACTAGTATATAAGAGAAGTGTTTACTTAATGTATATGTTTATTTTATATCATTAATATAATATTTATTATTTTATTTAATGAATTACAGCACCAACGAAGCTGTTTAAATATTATATATTAACTTTACATTCTATTTTCTTTTTTCTGATATCAAAGGCATAAAATAACCAGAATATACTGCAGTATTTACACTGTAAAAAAAAATTTACAAATCGTATATGCTAGAAATATGGTTCATTTCCGTTATAGTTTGTATATACTGTAAATATCTGGTGCCTTGCTGTTGCTTTTGCTGGCACTCATTAGAGAAAGAGAATGGGATTCCTTGGCCGCTGGCCGTTGGCTGATTTCGTCACCAGCTTTAAGGGATGAGAAGGGGTATGTCTGCCCCCAACGGATGCTGCTGCCTCGAAGGTGTTTTCCACCCCCCCAAAAGTCTCTTTGTTGTTGTTGTTGTCTCATGTTGCACATTGCGCCTGTCGAGTGCCATTCATTTGCAGCCACCCCCCAGCCCCTTTCTGCCACCTCCTTGAGGTCATCGTGGCTTTCGTCACTTGCCTTGATGTTTGGGGGCACTTTGGCTACAAAAAAAGAGAGAGATAGAGATGAAAAAAGAGAGAGAGACAGATAGAGGGGAAAAAAGAGGAAATAAATTGCTTTAAGTGTATTTAGTGTTGGGTTTTTGTGCTAAACTTACGTTATCTTATTGCTTAATGTCTGCTTGTAAGTTGTAGATTTCTTTAAGCTTAGTAATGTGTAAATTAAGGCTAAATAGTTTTTAAAATAGAAAGAAAGCTGTTAGGCAAAATTTGTATACATTTGCAATAGAGTCAGGGGGAAGTCCCCCTTCCCTATTCCCCATTGGAAATCGATCATATCCAAGGCAAAAATGCATTAATTTTAATTGGGAAAGCTGTTCTAAGTTAGTTTTTATAAGGTTATTAAATCTGCATACTGAATTTATAATTTTTTTAAATTAAAAATTTTGCCAATTTTTGAACATTTTGACGATGTAACCCCTTATCAAATTTTGAAAAAATTACCAAAATTTTTTTTTTTTTTCCAAAATGTCTTGAAAGACTTGCCAGTTAATGCTGATCAAGAATATATATGATTTATAGGGTCGGAAACGAATTCTTTACTGACTAAAATCAAAAAAACCCTTCAAAAAAGCATAAAATTCAATTCTAGCTTCTGACTTAAATTATTATACCCCGAAAGGATTATTTTTAAGTCATTAATTCCAATAACTGGCATTTAATAGTTAGTTGTAAAAGCATTTTACACAACTAATAGATTTAAAACAGTGTTATTTTTAAAATCAAAATTCAATAAAAACTACCTTTAATTATAACTTATTATCTGACAACCTAATATGTACCAAGCTTTCCCATATTTCCCATATTCCCATATTTTATTATCCGCTGAAAGTCGTAAATTACTAGCACTAAACAGTCCCATAAATACCAAGCTAAAATGTCTTGTTTTTTATTTATTCGAAATGTATTTTGTGTGCCGTGCTTTCCCTATCTTTTTATAGGTATCTCGAATGTCTGCCTTTAAGGCGTAACTTATTTGCGCTTTTGCCATTAAATAGTTGCATAAATATCCAGCTTAAAACGAGGCGTGCAAAATTAATAACACGAAGTTCCGAGCACGCACAACGACGGGGGGGAGGAAGAGGGAGGACGCTGCCTGACGGACCGCAGAGATAACACGCATTCGCCATGGCGTACGTACGCATTGAAAAGGGGGAATCCTCCCCCCAAAAAACCCATTGTTATTTCAGCAGTCGATGGCATAGTTGTTTTTGCATTTCCTGTAATCGACCATTTTAGGGGACAAAATCGCACTCCCTCACACACATTTACATAGTGACGTGGGGTGGAAATATTCTTTTGTGGCGTGAGAGAAAAGCGAGTATTGCAACTGACAAAATTCATAAATGAACATTTCCTTAATGGCTGCAATTTCCCATCTATCCACTTCAAGGATATTCGTAACAGTATGCCAAAAAGTGTGTTATATGCCAGCCAGCAGCCCGTATAATCGATATTCGATTTAAATTGTTCATTTAATGACTGTTACTGATGCATATGCATTTATGCCATATTCCAAGGCAAAAAATAATTGCAATTTATGTTAATGAACTTTATTTTAGCCGAGATATAGACTCCCAAATAAAAGATGAAGATTGAGAGCCGTAAGGTAGAAAGTTTTACGACACCGGCGGAGGATGATGATTGATTGTTGGTTTAGTAAATGTTTCGCTTTGTTACCTTCTCCGTGAAATTGAGCTTGAGATTGTTCATATGGAAATTAATTTCACTGAGTTTGTTTAATGGCTTAATATTGTACGGGCAGAGCAGGTGGTATAATTGATGGATGGAATAAATGTGTTTGTTTTCCTATTAAAGCCTCAAATAAACCAACTTTGGTTTACCTTTTGGATTAATTTGATTTCTTACAGTTTATACTTTGGCTAGAAACTCACCTGGAAAAGAGGTTTTAAATTATTCCCTTACTATCTGCCCTGTATATATCACCCCTGGCCTCTTTCCTCCTCACTTTTAACTGCCATTTTTGCCTTTTTTACACTGAGGGCATAGTAAATTAGCGACTTAATTCCCTCGTCCTTTTTACGGCTGAAAGTCTTTAAAAAGCTTGGGGTTCTACTTGCTGCAAGTCCACTTAGTAATTCCCTTTGTTGGCCCATCTAGGATAAGACACATTCATTCGCAGGATCAAACTGGCTGCACATGAGATTGGGCTTGTGGCCTGAACCGAGCAAAGTAAACTTAACTCGATGATGGCTCCTTGGCATGCAATTTCCACGAAGCCCCGGCTAAAACTTATTCAAGGCATTGGCCCGGCTATCGATGACAGGTCGAGAGGTTTGAGGGTGAATCAGAGGGTTAAACTAGCGATGGGTGGAAGCCAAGGACACATGCGTCATCAGCATTATTCTTACACTTGAACGCACCCAAAAAATGAGAGACCATTACGAGGGGTCAGTCTCCTTTGAGGGTACCTTAAAAGTTGGAATACTCTAGGGAAAACGCAAGAAACTGTTTTAATGAAATCCCCTTAATAATTGGAGAGTTCTAAACAAAAAGAAAAACAAGTTTTTTGTATTAAAAATAAGCCTTATTTATTATAAATACTTTTTAATATTTAAGAAATTTTACAGCTGTAAAAAAATCTATTAAAATTGTGCCAAAATTACTCTCTTACCAAGTGAAATATTTATTAATTTCCTATAAAAATTACTAAACAATTTTAAGGCCCTGAAACTATATACTTTCTTTACTAAAAAGCTGTTACATTTCCCAGATTTACCATTAATCCCAATGTGGATAATAAATCACCCACCAAAAGGTGAATTTACCTTGGACAGCAGAGTAAAGAAAACGTGTTCAAGTCATAAAATAAAATAAAAGAAAAGAAAATATAAAGTAGAGAATGATAGTTTGGGGCTTCATGAAAATGGGGTTCCATTAACACGATTGCTCTGACCCCACTTGTCTCTCTGGAATCATTTATCATGCTACAACTTATCAGGCAGCTAGATTTAAGAGTTGAGCTTCAAGGAAATGTATATACTATATGCAACTTTATGCAATATTATATATGTATTTTATTCATTTTCTCTCTGATTTTTGCAGAGTTTACAACGAAAAGTTGCTGAAAAGCGAGCTTCGGCAAATATCAACAGCTGGGGTAAAGCAAATCATAAGTAAACACAAAGGACCAGGACAGGACAGCCAAACCAAACTGCACAGGACGAAGGATAAATGTGGTAGTTGCCATGAGAGCAGCCTCGGGTGTTGACCAGGAGTGAAGGGCTCCCAGGGAAGAGCAGCAACAGCTGCTGCAGCACCAGGAGCTCCAGCAGCAACAGCAGCAGCAGCAGCAGCAGCAGCAGCTATCCAAACACAGAGCAACGAGCAACAAGCAACATCGAGGAGGGCAACAATAAGAACCGCCACTGACAACAACACTCGCAATCAAATCAAATTCAAAGATGCAAATTACAATTTGCATACAAATGCATGCGGCAACGACGAGTGACATCAGCACAAACACAAGCCACGCAAATTGTTGCTATCAAATGCTATAAAATTGTACAGAATAATTGTAGAGCCCGAGCACTCTTTTGCAAAACATATCGCAGTCTCCACCCCACCACCCTACTTCCTCAACATGATCAAGGGCATTTTAATACAGCGCAAGAGCCAGGAGGATGCCAGCTACACCAAGCAGCTCAAGATGGAGCATGCCGACCTGGTCGCCGAAATGCAGACCGTGGAGAGCCTGCCCACCCATGAGCGACTTCAGTTGGCCAGATTGTAAGTAAAATATTAAATAATATACGTAAGATATACTATAAAAAATAATAAAAAAATATTCCTACAACTGTAAACCCTGAACTTCCTCTGACTCTTCCTTTTATCCTATAAAACCCATCAAATACCCATAACTAATATCCCAAAATTCAATCTATTTCATATCTCTATCAGACGTCGTGGCCAGCAGCTTAAGTTGGCCCGTCAGAAGGAGAAGGAGTGGGCCAAGTTGCAGCGGGCGAAGGGTAACACGGCTAGCGGCGGCAGCGGAACCGGAAACGGATCCCTTGGCAATAGTCTGTTGAACGGGAACCATGGGGATACCACGCATCATTTCCGGCATGCCAACGGTTCGGGTACGCTGAGCGGAAGGCGGCACATATCCTTTGAGAACAGTGTGGTGCTGCTGGAGGCGGCCTCCAGGAACGATATGCCCGAGGTGGCGGCCCTGCTGCAGCATGGAATTACGCCGGATGCAGCCAACGAGGACGGACTGACGGCCATGCATCAGGCGTGTATTGATAACAACATGGAGATGCTGCAGCTGCTGCTCGAGTACGGGGCAAATGTGGATGCGCAGGATAGTGATAAGTGGACGCCCCTGCATGCGGCAGCCACCTGCGGCCACCTGGAGCTAGTACGCATCCTCATCCGGCACGGAGCCAATCTGCTGGCGGTTAACACCGATGGCAATATGCCCTATGACCTGTGCGACGATGAGAATACCTTGGACTTCATTGAGGGCGAGATGGCGCAACGGGGCGTTACCCAGGAGCTGATCGATGAGACACGCTCCTCCACGGAACGCATAATGCTGCGCGACCTCATGGAGCTGGCCCGCATCGGTGGGGATCTGGAGGAGCCCGACTACCAGTGCGCCACACCAGTAAGTGCGCAATGCATCTTGATTTTCCCCACAGAAAAAATATTAACCCTGCCATGTTGTAAATAACTTTTGATTTATCTCTATTGTCTCTTCAGCTGCACATAGCCGCCGCCAATGGATATGTTCGTGTGGTGGAGTTTTTGTTGGAACAGCATGTCAATGTGGATGCCATGGACAAGGATCTGTGGACGCCGGTACATGCCGCCGCCTGCTGGGGACATGTAAGTGAAGTCAAATGACCGGCGAACAATGGAATAATTTTAAATATATTTTTATTTTTATTATTTTGTCTTTGCAGCTGGAGGTGCTGGAGATGCTGGCCCAATGTGGTGCTGATTTAAATGTTCGCAACAAGGACGATGAGACGCCCTCAGGTGAGAATGCATATGTGAAAAGGTGATGGGAATGAAGCCACATGCAGGATTTATTATTGCTGAAAGAAATGAAAATCCATATGAAATTGGGTAATAAATAATCGTTAATGTTGTAATGAAAAGGATGTAAATGGGTTTGCTTGAGGGTTTGAATGCTGCCAATAGAGATGGGGATTTATCGATTTATTTTCGATATTTTAGAAAATAACATCGATTAATTCAATAAAGAAAAAAATATTAATAAAATTCTATGAATTGAATACAAAAAAATATATAAAAATATAAAAATATATTACAAAAATTTATATGAATTAAATAAAAAAAAATATAAGTTTAATACAATAAAAAAGCAACAAATTATTTTAATAACAAAAACAATTTATTAATATTTATTTTCCTAATTTATCCTGAAATAAGAACCCTTTTAAACATGTCTTATAGATATTTGTGAAGATCCCGAGATCAGGGAGCGCATTGAGCAGCTGAAAACAGAGCAGGAGAGCAAACGACTGGCCGAAGCTCAGCGACGGCGTGTGCGGCGCTCACAGAGCAACAACACCAGGTTAATTTTTATATAAAAAAAAATAATAATATACATTTTAAAAACATTTATATGAATTTTAAACCCACCTAAAAACAGAGCCCAATCCGTGCGACGTACTAGCTTGCGTGACAAAACGCTGACAACCAAAAAGGATGCCGTCGAGGAGACGCGTCTTCGCCTGCAGGCCCAGGAGGCGACGGCTTCTTCGGAGGCTCCCTCCTCCGCCGCTGGAGATCCGCTGACCAATGGCTATAACAGCTACAATGGCAACAACAATGGGGAGAAACGTCCCTCGACCGGCAGTTCGAATGGCCAACTACTACTGCCCCACTCCAAGTCCGCCGATGCGCTGGATAATGCCATGATAGCATCATCCGCCGCCGCATTGGCGGCCACCGCCACACATTCCTATCAACCGCGTCGTCCGCCAGACGGCCGGGAAAATGATGAGCTGCTCCGCCTAAAGGCCGCCGGTGGTGGCGCCCTTACCGATGTGCAGCAGCGAGCCACATCCGCGGCGGCTGTTATACTCACCGAAAAGGGTACAGCGGCTAGTGCCGAGGCCGTACAAATCCAGTCGTCCAAGGAAGCTGCCAATGGGAAGATCAATGTCCAGGTCACCGTTCTTGTGGGTGAGTCAACTATGGCCACGTGCCAGGCTTGCTTCCGCTTTTTCCTATCCCATTACCAAAACCACCCACCCAACCACCCAACCACCCATTCATTCAGTCATCCGCCCGCATTATTTGGCTCCCAAGGAGCGTCAACGTATCACGGAGAGTCCTGCTTAAGCGCCATTCTGTCCCCGTGTCAATGTCAATGTTAAATGTTTATTTAACGACTCTACTAAAATGGAAATGAAAATACTTCCAACAAGCAAACACATCGCTAACCCAGCATGAGTGGGAAAGATCGACTAGAGAATGTGCTGTAGGGAATACAGAAAGGTTTTTTGGGAATAATGGGAAAGTTTTAGGTGAAAGGGAAATTCTCTGAAAAGCTATAAAAGATATATACATAATACTGGGATACTTAAAAATTGAATTTTTAATTACAATTTTTAAATTTTTGAGCAACAAATCTTAAGGACAAAAGTCTGAGAATAAGAACGTTTGTTGTTTGTATATAAAAAAATATTTAGTATCCTTTTTGACAAGTTTTAGACACTTTCAACATTTTAATGATATAATTCCTTAAAATTTAAAATTTTAAAAATTAAAAATAGGGGATAAATTTTGTTTTTTGATTCCCTTACAACGTTTCAAACTTGTGTCTAAACTTATAATACCCAGTAAAAGTATAATAAACATTCAAATTCATTTTCCATATTGGTGACTTTACCAGAAAAACTCATATAAAAAATAAATATGATAAAAGCATGGCTAAAACTAAAAAAAATAAACTACCAGCATGTACCATCCATCTCATGTAACTAACCACCACATTTTCCTTGGTCAAGGGGTATTTGTAAAACTTAACTCTCAGGGAAAAAAAGGGAAAGAAATAAGAGAAAAAAATTTAACACTTGCTTGTTTCTGTTTCATTATATATATATATTTATTTTTTGTTGTTCCTTGTCGTTGTTGTGCCTCGTTTCGCCCGTTCTGTGTCGTCTGCCCGCCTGCCCGCCTCGCATCATCATCATCATCATCATCAACAACAAAAACAATCGAAACACTCCAACACACCAACCAAACACACACCAACACCACATACAGACACCAACAGCACGCACCACCATCAGCAACATTTCCAGCAACAGCAGCAGCAGCAACATCACCAGCAGCAACAACAGCAGCAGCAACTCCTGCAGCAACAGCAGCTTCAGCAACAGCTACAGCAGCAACATGTTGCCTTAGATGGCTATGGTGCTACCTTGTCCAATTTGAAAAAGCAACGCTCGCTTTCACGCACCGCCAATGTACTCAATAATTTTGAATTGTCATCCCAACAACAAGCAACAAGCAATGCCAATAATCCAATTCTAGCTCCAACTGCTCCAACTAATGGTTCTGTTTTAGGAGCCGGCGGTAGCAGTGGCAACAACAACAACAACAACAATCTTAACAACAATAACAACAACAATGGCAGCAACAGCAACGGATCAGCACCCATATCCACACAGCCACTGGGCATGGGCAGCAGCCTAATCTCGGACTTTGAGGTATCCTCACCAGCGAGCAGTTCGGTGAATAAGTTCAGTGGGATCACAGGGGATGTGGTGAGCGATAGCACCAGTTCCAGTCGCAAGTGCTGTTCCCTGATGTAGAATTGAGAGTTGAGAGAGAAAGATATATAGAGCATTATATACATGGGATTGTGTAAGCAAGAAAAAAGTGTCTTTTTTTAGTAATTAGCCGAAATTCAGTGAGAAAACCGTTGAAAGAATTGCATGTTATTTAACAAAACGGGGCTCAATTATTCTGAGCTCCCAAAAAAAAACGACTCAAAGTCGTTTCCAGTCGTTGTTTCCTAGCAAAACATACACACACCACACAACAGATTATACGATAAAAATTTATATAGAAATATACAAGTACCATATGTATACACTCTAAAAGTTTATCAACAAAATAAATGTGAGCAGTTTACCTTAGTTTATGTACAATGTAAAGGCAAAAATCAAAAAGCATAACATAAAAAACCTAAAAAACTATCAAAAAACTATGATTAAGAAAAGATATAAAATATATAAGAACTTTGTTTATTGATTGATTCTTGCTTGCGAGTGCAGTGTGTGAAAACCAAAACAGGCAAAGTATTATGCAAAAACAAGTATGAAATATTTAACTAAAAATATATATTTACGATAGCGAAATTGTAGTTAAAACAATGTGACAGGCGACAGCAAAGCAATGAAACGAAATGCAAAGCACTTGAAGCAATTCCCCACTAAAATGTTTTTGAATTGAAAGGACATCTTGCTCTGTCCCCTGATCTGGATTTATATTTTTGAGTGCGATTTACTTGTGCTCTGCCTTCTGTGAGTTGAGTTTTGTTAAGTATATGGATACAACAACAAATTTGTATTATTTATGTAGCAACTATGTCTGTATATATACACACCACAATTCCAAATGATTAAAAAAAGAAGAGAAAAACAAAAAACACAACGCGCAATTAGCAAATGAGACTTTTTTCGATTTAATAAATGTCAAGGCATTAGCTGAATGTTTTGTAAAAATAAACGAATGAAATAAGAAAAATTCCTACACGAAATGAGATTGTTTTATTTAAGAGATGGGATGGCTAATATAATATATAATTTATAATACAAAATATATATTTTGGATTTTAAAAAGTGGTTTTTAATTACAACATAACAAGTTTTTTTATATGTTTTTTTTAAAGGTTTTTACTTCCGATTTAAATTTAAAAAAACGTTCCTGTTTTAAAGATGTTTTTAAGATGTCCTTTTAGATTTAAAATAAAGTCAATGTAACGGTTCATTTTTTTAAATATAGTATATTTTGGTATATTCTAACTGAAAGACATTTTTAGGTCTTTTTTATATATGGATTTGCGTTCCCACTGTCAAACTCTTTTTGTTTACCTTTATTTTGTTTTATTTTTAAATGGAATCCTTGACCAAATACCGTTATGGTTTGGTGGCAGGAGCTTTTGCTGCCGGTGGCAGCTTCTTTGGAAAGTTACCAAGCCACCTGAGCGCTCAGAAATTGCTAAATGCTTCCGAATCCACGTACTTGGGTAAGATTTTTGTAGATAAGTTAACTAAATATTAATTAATAAATTCATTTATTTTTAGAAATTATATTAATGCGTGCTGTACCTTTGGCTTTAATGCTACTTTGCAATGTTAGCAATTTGCGTTGTTTTTTAAAGGCTCTGCAAATGACTGAACAAACATTAACCTGCGTGGTCCTAACTGCTGCCTCCAATTATGTCTTATCGGTGGGTGCTACGTTTTCTTGATTATATATAAAATGTTATTACTCATACTTTAATAATAGTTTGTTTTAGGAGCACTTGTATATGGGGAGCCCTTAACGGTGGTATCTGGGCTTGGAATAACACTTATATTGTCCGGTCTTTGGTTCCTTTGTGATGCGGGAGCAGTGGAAGGAAGCCAAAAGGAAGCTGAAAAGGAGGAATAGTTGATGGAGAAATGTAAAAAAAAATATAAATAAAAAATGTAGTTACTAAATAAGGATACAAATAGGACAATTTATACTCAGGCAGGAGAAAAAAAAATAAATTTTTGATTGATAATAAAATTTTAAAATAAATGTACAAGTTTAAATATAAATAAATTTGAAAATATATATATATATATATAAATATGTATATATAAATATAACTTTATATATATAAATACCCCACTTTTTTCATACTTTGTAAATAAAACAATCGTTTTTTTTTATCATTTTGTTTAATGTTGTATGTACTATTTTGCAAATACATCGTTTTTTTCATTTCATTTATAATGCACTCGCACTCACACTCACTGTTTCGTGTGCCTGCTGCTGCCTCTTCATTCCACATAATCTTATAATTACATCTATTATTTTTTTTCATCATAAGTGGTTTTTGTATTGTATTTTCTTTGTTTTTTTTCGTTTGTGTTTTGTGTAGTTTGGCAAAAAAAAACAAAAAGGTGTTAAAATATATTGGTTAGAGCATGACAGTGTGGAGCACAAACTATATAAATATATATATTTATCCATCGTTTATATATATAGGTAATAGTAATTGGTTTGTATTTTGTTTTCAGAATCGTTTAATTTAATTGCTAAGACGTATAAATACTTTTCATGTTTTCTCATTTCTCTCGACGCATCTGGTAATTATCGCTTGTCCAGCTTCAACAGGGATAAGTATAGAGTGAAGTCGGGCGAGGAGGAGTTATGTACTTTTTGCTCATCATTTTCGTTTTTGTTTTTTCTTGAGAGTTTTAGAAACCCTTAGAGCGAGTGCTTGCCTTCCTGTATATGCAGTTGTAGTCCTTGTGTGTGTGTGTTTCTAACAACTATTTTGTTTTATTATTAATACATTATTTAAATAAACCATAATTAAAGGGGAAATTTAATTGTAAGTTGTATTAAAAAATACGTGCAAATCGGTTTTCCGCCGCTCCTTCATTTTCTTTTGCCTTCCCTTTGCTTTCCAAGGGATTCTCGTATTATTTTATTGTAGAATCCCATTTATATTCTGGTTGAGAGTTTCTGCGCCTTTTCAACGTAACGATAATTGTACGTCTACGTGGCCATTATTTGTTTGCTGTATGCTGATGATTGGTTTCCGTTGTGTGTGGATTTCGAATGAAGTTGATGTTTGTTTTTGTTTTCTTGTTTGTTGTTGCTTTTTTTCTGTTAATACGTATTGTTTTCTGCTCAGTTTTTATTCTCCAATCCAAGGGGCATGCGCTGCTGTGTCTGGTTCTGGCGGCTTATGTAGCCACCGCCCTGGTTGCCCGCTCCGCCGCCGCGTCCTCCACGGTCACCCATGGGCCTGCCACCGCCATAAGAACCGTTGCCATTCCGTTGCTGATTGACGCCACGCTGGCCCCGATAGCTTCCGCCGGAGGACTCGTAGCGGGACTCCTTGTTGTACGGGCCATTGCCCCCGCCGCCACCGTTTCCTCCGTTCTGGTAGTAGTTGTTACCACCTCCATTGCCCGTGTCATTGTTGCGGAAATATACCCCACCGCCACCACCGCCGGAATTGCGTCCATTCTGGTTCGAGGAGTTACCATATTGACGCGAACGATAGTTTCCTCTTTCAACGCCTCCGTTGCGCCGGTCATCGCCACGCGTACCCTGATCACGATCCCGGTCTCCACCGCTGCGACGCTGATAATTGCCAGAATTACGACGGCCATCGCCCTGCGAGTTCCAATGGTTGTTGCCACCCTCGTTGTCCGCGTATCCACCTCCTCCGTTGCCACCACCACCGCCGCCAGCACTGTTGTCCCTGGGCGCGGCCCACTCCTGCTTGTGGCTGGTGTTGCTGCTGCTACCGTTGGATGCCGCACTGCTCATGGCATTCATCTCCGAGCTCCACTTGGTGGGCGGTGCCGGTGGCGTGGGCTCACCTCCCTTGAGGACATTGGTGAGTGCAACTGTGGCGGCGGTGTTTGTGTCATTGTTGCGCCATTCATTGTTCTCTAAAACCACATCGTTGCCAGCCGTTCCACCAGCATTAGGAGCAGTGTTCCCAGGCGACGGCTCATCCAGCTGCTGTTGCTGCTGCTGAATCTGCTGTTGCTGTTGCTGTTGTTGTTGCTGCTGCTGCTGTTTCAGCTGCTGCTGGATCCGCTGGTCGTAGGTAACCACTGGTCCGTCATATGGAAAGACTGAGGTCACATCGCCAGGCTGCATGCCAATTCCCTGAGGAGCGGGCTGTTGGGCTGGCAGACGCGGCATGATCAGCATGGGTTGGGGCTGCTGCTGCTGCTGTTGGCGCTGGTCGTGGATCAGGACCGGGGAGAAGAGTTGCTGCTGCTGCTGCTGGGGTGGAGGAGCCTGCTTCGGCTGCTGCTGCGAGGGAAACGACTGATTGGTAAAGGTCAGCGTTTGTATGGCTTGCGGTGGTTCATCGACATGGTTCGGCTGCTGGGCATCAAACACCAATCCCTGATTGTTGGGGTTGGGCGGCTGTGGTGCTAGGCCTTCAGGATTGTCCAGTTCACTGTCCTGCAGAAAAAGGAAGCTTCCTGTGCCGCCCAATACCTCCGCCAAGGGGCGCAGCTGTTGCATAAATTGCTGTTGCTGCTGCTGTTGTGGTGTGGGTGCTGCAGCCTGCGGATGTGGCGGCCCCGGTTTAAAATAGTTCTGTTCCACGGCCCGCACACTCGGAGCAAAGTGAAGCGGAGGCGGATGCGCCTGCTGCTGTTGGGGCGGCTGAGGAGGAACTGCACCAGCAGCACCTCCCGTCTGCAAAGCCTGGAGATTCACGGGGCTGCTCAGCAGCTGGTGAGGATGCGGCGGCTGCTGCTGCTGTTGTTGCTGTGGACGCGGTGCTTGTGCATACAGGACATGCACAGGGGTGGTGGTTCCCCCAGCTGGAGGGGCAGCTTGGTAAACCTGCGACAGCTGTTGCTGCTGCTGCTGCACCACCAGGGTCTGCTGTTGCTCATGAAGAGGAGCACGCTGATGCTGCTGTTGTTGCTCCAACAGAAGATGGCCCCCCGGACGCTCTGGCTGCTGCTGCTGTGGCAAATGCTGCTGCTCTAGTTCCGGTGGTCCTCCAAGATGCAATTTGTCGAGACCTTCCTCTAGAGAATTACGAGCCGATGGCTCCGATGGCAGCTCAGTGTCTAGATCCCCGCCAGAGCCATCGTTCAGCAAGTCAACGCCGCCATCGCCTTCGCCGCTTCCAGTGCCACTGTCCGTGCTATTGGCCACCGCATTCTCGACCTGATAGTACTTGTCCAAGTAGCCGCTGTCCTGGATCTGCTGGAACAGCCCACGCAACTTCTCGAACGTCATATCCCCGAAGGTCTTGGGTCGGGCATTGATGGTCGAAGCAAAAAGTTCAGCTGACTTCTGGGCAGTGGCAATGAAACTGACATCGTCAGCGGTTTCAGGGCGACGAGTTTGCGTCTCCAGGCAGCTGGAAAAAATATCAAATTGAATTAGAAAAGGTCTTGAAGGGTATTCTAATTTTAGTTAGAAGTTTGTAACGCAGTAAAGTAATCGTTTGCGGCTTTATAAAATATAGTAAATATATCAGAATGGACAAGATCGAACGACTATATCTTGGATAAAGTTACCCCATCATAATCATCGAAAAGTTAAATAGGTAAAAGACAAAACCTTAAACTTTTTAAGCACATTTCAAGCTAGTCTTTTGTTTTAGTTTGTATATATTCTAAACATTAGTTACGCCCGTAAAACAGTGTGAAATGAAATTTGGCGTGTCGGAAGTTCGCATGGCAGCAGTGCTTTTTCAAGTAACAAATACTGTGAACTATGGCCTCTTGGTGTTTTTAAAGTAAATATAAATTAAACTTACAATTTCTCCAGAACTTCCAGCTCACTGCTTTCCAGCTTTTTCGCTCCATTTTCGCCGGCCAGAAAATCGTTGCGCACTTGTTCATCGTTGAAGCAGTTGAGCACGTTCTGAATGATCAGAACCTCACGGATCTTGGCCGTCTCAGCCAGCGTCTTTGCCTGGTTGTCCTTTAACAGCACAATATCTTGGTTATAGTATATCTTTTGTGTGAATCACCAGCACTGGCTTACCTTGCGGGCCTGCTTTTTCTGCTCCTTTTCGGCCTCCTTGGACTGCTGCTGCATCTGCTTGGCCAGCTCGCGGGCAAACTCCAGATTGGCCAGAACTGCATCATACTTGGCCACTGCTGAGGCCTGGTCGCCGCTCAATTCCTTGCCGCTGCTCTGAATGGCGCGATATGATTCCAACTTTGTCTGTTCAGAAAAAAACACGTAAATATTATTTTAAAATGTTAAAAACTAATTTTTCTGGGATATTCAACACACATAAATATTTAGCTGTGTTAAAACTTTGCTTAAACGAGAAAAAACATGAAAAAATTGGCTTTTTCTCCCAAATTAATAAAAAACAAAATTCGCAAAATTATTTTCTTCCCGCACTAACCCGGCGTTGCCAGATGTTTTACACTTACAGCTGTTAAATGTGTAAAATCTTTGTCTACTTGCAATAAGACAAGTTTTTCCACCAGCTTTAATGCCATTGACACCTACTCTAATCACTTTTAAGCTATTAATTGACACAAAACTAGGGGTTTTCATTTTCGTAGACTTGTTCTATTTGGCATGCCGGCAGCCGAGCTCGATCTGGCAACGCCTTGCGCTGCAGAAAACATGGCGTCGCCCCGAGAAAGCACGAGAAACGGGAGGTGTGCGGGGTGCGCGCAAAACGAAACAAAGCAACACCGAGAGAATGAAAATAAAAATGGTGGGCCATGCTGCCGATCCTTTGTTCCCTCTACCCCGTGCAGGTGCTACCTCTAGGACCCCCCGTACTGACCTTGCGCTTCTCCAGGTTCCGGATTTTGTGCTCGATGGTGACCAGCATCTGCTTGAGCGGATTGTACGGCTCCGCGGTCACGGCGACGCCGGCAGGGGTAGCGGCAGCAGCGGCCGACTTTAGCGCCTTCGTGCTTCCGTTGCTCGCATTGTTGTTGGCCAGATCCGACTGGCTGCCATCGGCCGGCTGGGCTGCGGCCAAATTGCCGCGGCTGCCGGCGTGCTGGCCATTGATGGTGGCTCCGTCGCCAGCAGAAGCAGCTACACCGTGTGCAATTCCGCCACCGCTGCCCCCACCAATCGAGCTGACCGAGGCGCGTTTATCCTTGCTATTGTTGTTGCTGGCGGTGGCGTTGGTGATTGTGGTGGTTGCAGCCGAAGGCATGGTTTGCCGCTGTGTTCTTTTCCTGGTTGCTCAAATTTAGCTCGAAATGGGGAATGATGTTCGGTTGCTGTTTTCCCAGTCCAGTTCGCTTGTCTGCTCCGCTCAGGAAAAAAATTTGCAAAATTGTAGGGATGTGAAAAATGTATCAAAATATCGATAGATCGATATTTGAATAAAAATAAATATTTTTATCGTGTTATGTTAGTTACCTGATATATCGAATTCGTCCTTCGATAACGTCAGGTAAAATTCGACTATGTGAGGGCTGGTCACATTGACCAATTAACGCTATGCACAGAACAATCGATATTTAATCGATTTAAAAAAATTTAAAAATAATTTTATAACGGTAAAGCTGATAGAATGTTTTCTTTTTATTTAATTTGTTCAATAGGAGTTTTATATATATAGAAATAGAATACTTTGGAAGTATATTAAGAATTGGAACGTAATTTCGCAGTACCTTTTAAAAATATTTAATCATACCACGTTTCTTAGATGTATTAAATGCCCGGCGTGTTAGAATCGTATTTTAACGAACAAAACAATAATAACTGACAAAAACATGGCGCTAAATTATATCTATCTGATCTAAGTGAGCAACAACTTTAACTAACAATAAGTTCCAGATTGCTTTGTTTTTAAGACCTTTAAAATTTCAAATAAAATTAGTTCCTTACTACCATAAACCGCAATTTATTTACAATTACTTTCAGCAGTAAATAATTGATCTGTTAGGTGGAATTACTCAGCATAAACCCTCACATAATCTATAATCATGGCACTTTGCCTGCCCCATGTGGGTGCCCAGGCATCCCGCTGTTTCCAAAAGGAGAGCGCCGCTCGAGGCTCTCGGTTTTTGTACGGCTTAACATCCTTGTCCAGTACACTGTCATCGAAATTAAGGAACCCTCCAACAGTAACACCAAAAATGATGAAGCATTTCTCATTGAAATAGGGCAGGCCATCGTACAGCTCTCCGTAGATCTCCTCGTCCACCATGAGCGTTATTTTATCCCTCTGCCAGATCATGGTGTAGTTGTGGAAATCATCGCCGTAGTGGGCTGTACTAACTTGATCTTTAGTGAACTGTACAGCTCTGCCGTGATGCCAGACCACCATGCCGCCATAGAGATGATTACCGGATATATCCTCACCCTGTTTAGTTCTCAAATTGGCGTTGCCGCGGGCGTAAGCAATGCCTGAAAAATAAAATATAAAACAAATTACATTTTTTTTAAACCTTAAAGAGTTCTGGATATTTAAACAATATTAAAACTTACGCAACTGCTTGGCATAGTGGGATTCCGCATAGGTGGAAACAGGCTGGAGCATTAGATCTGTAATGTAATTACATAATTAGAAACAAAGATATATATTTTTATTTGCCACTTACAGGGAAAAAGCCAGTCGCCTTTCGGCAACTTGGCCCGCACAACGATCTTTCCAAACTTGAAGCTAAACGAGTCCCTGGTGTGGATTTGGGCTGAGAAAACCGGTGGTTTGATGGTGTAAAAGGTGTTCTGGGCAATATTGCACTCCGTATCCGGACTCTCGACCGCCGTGCACCGGTCTCCCAGCTTAAAGCTACCTTCCTTCACCTCGCTGGCCACTGTGGGTACAATGTGGAGATTGCCTTCCTTTACAAACGAATTCCGCGGAGAATCGTCGAAGGCGACCAGCTCCTCCTCCACGTGGTACATGCGCTGCCGGATGTCATGCTTCCAGGTGCTCTTATTTAGGTGTGGCCCCGAAAAGTTGTCCTCGAAAATCAGTTCACCCTCGCAGGTGCGCCGGCCACTGGTTACTATGGTCTGGGCAGGCTTGCATCGCTTGGCTTGCTGCTGGGGGGCCAGAATTGCCTCACACTCGCCCTCTCCCGAGGGGAAGTCAATGGTCCGCGAGCTGGTGTTCCTGGTGGTCAGCAAACGCTTGTTAATAATCACCCTGGTCTCGCTCTTCTCGAATATCTCCTCGTTGAACTGCACCAGCACGGAAATCTGAAGCTTGTCGTTGTTCTGAAGACTCGTCTTTTGTTTGGAAACCCAACTGCCGTTTACAGATTCTGTAATGTAGTCCATTAAGGGCGGGCAGCTTTCGTCTATCTGGAGCATGTAGAAAACTCGTTGTATGCCAGGTTCATCTGGAATGGTAATTTGGAATTTTTCTAAAAATTCTAAATTACTTACAATAAATATTAAATCCTTACCTGGTATGGACACCTCGAACCCAAGTTCATTGAGCATTTCAAAGTCAATGCTGGGTATCTTGAAACCCGAAACAGCATAATTTGAGATGATGAACAATAAGCAGGTTAGGGGTTTCCAGCGCATGACGCAGTTTTTAATTATTATTAATATATGTACTAACTAGTTTCCGATTAAAGTGCTATTCTGGGAAGCTCTGAGGCGCGACTACTGCATCAGATTGGAAATCTTGATCTTAAAAGCTTAGGGCAAGTGATTAAAGCTTTACTCTATTGAAAATTCTATTACTATAAAATATTTGAAGCACATGAAAAAAGATGAATTTTTGGAAGAACAATCAGCTAAGGTAATTAATTTTTTTATTTATAATATACATTATTGGTGTAGGTTAGTTCTAAATATTAGAATAAAATATATTAAATATCCTTTCAAACTTGGCTTTTATAAAAGCTATAAATACAAAACACAAGAATCATTTTTTAGAATCGATCCCAAAGCAAGCCTCCTTTTTTCCGGATAGTCTACGACTTTCTCCTTTTTCTCAGATTTCTATATAATATATCTAACCTTAAATATGATTGATATACAATTAAAAATCTTGTAAAATTAAGTGTTAATTATTTCGTAATTTTTAGCAATTTTTCCAGGTGTAAAACGAGCTTTCATTATCGCATCAGCTGTGCTAAGCTTTTTTGGCAAAGCCTGATCGCTGGAACTACAATTCCGGGCTGTTTTAGATGATTACAAAATGTTTAGTTGCCAGAGAAGCCAGATCGCAGCGGGAGCTGATATGAGCCGGGATTTGCACAGGCCAAACCGCGATTGCCGGGGCCAAACTTAAAGTAAACAAATAATAATAATCGACCAAAAGCAACGCGACGGCAGAAACCGGTTGCCACTGAGATAGAGACACACCACGGCCTGAGTCAGAGGCTTCGGCGGATGTGCGGAGAAAAAACTGTGGAAATCGAGGATTCAGAATGCCAGGATTGTCAATTGGAATACTGCTCCTGATCGGTTTTGGGTATAGCCTTGGGTATAAGATTCCCACGCCCACGGTGGAGCTGCTGGAGAATAGTTTTCGCGTTTCCATACCAGGTAAAGAAAAATCTGTAGAATTGCACTCCAAATCTTTAGACTGCGCCTGTTCTTCTACTTTTATTTTTAAAAGTGATTTTCATATATAAATTTGTTATGTTTCAAATATAAACTTTAATGATTGTCAATCTTTGAGATAAGCTTTAAATGACCTGATGAAAATGATAGTAGTTCTAAGAAATAATCTTTGTTTCTTTTGCTTTTGTATATATGTGCGTTTAGACGAAGTGGGCGTCAAGGTGGTGGCTTTTAATGTGAATCGCAACCGAAACTTTACGTCGTTCAACCAGGGACAATTCACTGTGAGATTAACCGAACCCAAGAATGGCAGCTGGTACAATGACTTCAATTCCGGCGCCCTGAGAGCCCAGGATGTTCTGTATCTCTGGACGAGTGTCCAGCACGAAAAGGCCTTGTACCAGGATTTGGTTCAACCCCTGCAGGTCTGCAGCCTGGGAGGAGATTACCTACCCAAAGGCTGTTCCAGCGATGAGGACCTCACGTATGACAATCGGCTAAACACTGAGGAAACCGCCTCGGAACCCCCATCTCCCTCGGTCTGTGAGCCTTCCTTATCGACGGTTTCCCCACCAATCGGTGCTCCTATCTGCAAGGGACAACTCCTGTTTGAGGAGACCTTCGATCAGCTGAACGAGACCCTTTGGATTCACGAAGTCCGTCTGCCTTTGGATACCAAGGATGCGGAGTTTGTGCTTTACGATGGCAAGGCCAAGGCTGAAGACGGTCACCTGGTCATGGAACCGCTGCTTTGGTCCAGTTACCGACCGGACCTCTCCATAAACAATGCCAGAATCGATCTGGCCGAGAGATGTACGGGCACCCACGAGCGGCTTAGGGAGTGTGTGCTGCAGACGACTAGGAGTGGACCCAAAGGAATAATGCCACCTGTAGTGACACCGCGTGTTAGCACCAAGGAATCCTTTGCCTTTCAATACGGACGGATTGAGATACGCGCCCGGCTGCCGAAGGGTGATTGGTTGGTCCCACTGCTCCTGCTGGAACCACTGACGGAGTGGTATGGCCAGACGGGCTATGAGTCCGGACAGCTGCGGGTGGCAATGGCCAGGGGCAATACACAGCTGAGGATGCCCCGCGGAAAGCTCGTGGATGGAAGAACACTGTACGCTGGACCGGTGATCTCCACGGATGCTCATCAACGGGAGGATTTGTGGGTGAGCCAGCGAAGAAACTCCCACTTTGGCGACGACTTTCACACCTACAGCTTGGACTGGAGCAGCAGCAGGCTGCTGTTTTCGGTGGATGGCCAGATTTACGGGGAGATGCTGAACGGCTTTGCGGAATTGGACCTTAATCCGCGATGGAAGCAGGGGGCTATCATGGCTCCTTTTGATAGAATGGTAGGTTTAGTTTAGTTTGAATGACTTGTGATAAATAATAATATTTTATTAATTAAAATTACCTTACAGTTTTACATCAGTTTGGGCCTTTCTGTAGGCGGCTTTGGCGACTTTGTGGACAATCTCCGCACGGCTAGTTACGAGAAGCCTTGGCTAAACTACCATCCCCAGGCCAGGCTCCAGTTCTATCGGGCCCAGGAGCAGTGGCTTCCCACATGGAAGCAGCCCTCTCTGCGAGTAGACTACATACGTGTCTATGCTAACTGATAAGCATTCATCTTATCGCAATAAAGCTCTGAGAGCGGAGAGATGTCCGCGTCCCCATCAGTCTCATTTCAAATTCCAAATAATAAAGATGCATATATTTTTGGGATTAATTGCGAGTCTAGTGGTCGGCATCGAGTCGTTTATGGTGCCCATGCCGTTCGTGAAAACTAATCTCCCTTGGGTATCGTTTACGCTGCCAGGTGAGATTAAGAAGAGAAGTCCAAAAATAGTTTCGTTCTTATAAAAATTCCAATATTTTATTGTTGCAATCAGTTAGTAAGTGTGTAGGCCATTAAGGCCACGATTCCAGCATTTCCCAATGTAGCCACATGCACGCCAATACCATTTATTAAGTAATCAACCAAAGTTGCACCGTATCTGGCCAAAAAAGCCAGACCCGCTACCGCGTAATAGATTTCATTCTCATCCTCGAAGCCGAGATACGAAGTGGAAGCAATATTGGCAAGCAGAGCCAAATCCTTCAGAGTCTCCGTGGCGGTGTCCCATTCATCGTCCATCTTCCCTAGCACATCGTACAGGAGCGGTATCAGCGAGAGGGCATGGACCATCGCAAGTGGCGATAGATCGGATATTAGGTAGAACTCGATATTGGCCAGCGGCAGGGGGATCACCTCCAGAATACTGCTTGAAAATACAAATGCACGACCGCATTCGTCCTCCTCCTCCTGATAAGCCCGCACTAAGCCCAGCAGTCCGTGGACAAGGCTAAAGGATGCCGCCAAATAGCCGTATGGATTCTGGGCGGGTTCCAGGACATACAATGCATATCCGCAGGCTACAATGAGCAGCAAGTTTGTTATAGCGGCTATAAAATGCATTTTGAATTTCTTCGGTTAGATCAACTCAAAAGACGCACAAAAAAGTCGCTTATTGGGGGGGCCAGAAAATAATTTGGAATGCTGTTAGCTTGGGTTTAAGGTGTGGAATGACGAAAAAAACGAAAGTCATTGATAACCTCCATGACAGTGAAGTCAAAGGCCAACCGTCTGGCAAAAACTTTTAGTCTTCCCGAAAACGTTTTGATGCTAATAATTATGTGTTGTTTTTTTTTTTATATTCCCCTAAACAGAGGACAAACAATTGGACATCAGTTCGGTTTTATATTACACCGATTACGGAAAGGATAAGTGCCCGGCCTACGTTTACAAATCCAATCCTAATGTGATACATCCCTGGGAAATTGAAGAACACCTAAATTCAACCCTAAGGATCTCGGCTGTTGTGCAGACCAAACAGAACGAAACCTTCGTCGATACATTTAGCCTAAGTTCCTTGGGAAGAAAGGTACAGACGGAGAGGGTGATGTGTCTTCCTTCCACAGTTAAGAAACCTCGTGGAGAACTCATATTCTCCGAGAACTTCAAGGATTCGAATCTTAATAAGTGGACCCATGTGGTGCAATCACAGGTTCCGGCCCCGCACTACGAGGGAGTGGCATTCGTGAATGACCGCGCTAATTCGTTCGTCGAAAACAATAGGTTGCACCTAAGGGTTACCAAGTCCAACTATTCCAAAACCAATCCGTTCCACCTAAAGGATTGCACGTCCAAGTCGAAAAAAAAGCGATGCGGAAGTACTAAGGATTACAACAAAATGTTCAAGTTTATACCGCCTTTTGTTTCGGCCAAGCTGCGATCGAAGGAAACTTTCTCGTACTGCAGAATACAAATAATTGCCAAAATGCCCATTGGTGATCTCCTTTTTCCAGGTAATTTCACTTCATATGGCACATATAACTTTGAAGTTAACTATTTTTTGAGCAGGACTTACCCTGGCATACGACGATGGGAATGATAACGACGATGGCGATGACGCCATTCGCATTGCAATTGTTAGGGGCAACCAGAGATTGAGCGATATCGTTGGCAACGAGATCGGAGGGTCCAGGGTCTTTGCCGGCGCCATTTACATCAGGGATATTTATACGGAAATTCACGAAGAGATCAAATATATCGAAACAAAAAAACACTTTGGAGAACGCTTTCACATCTACACGGTTATTTGGCACGAGAAGAAAATTATTTTTAAAGTAGATGATGAGACAATTGCCACGATCAGCGGGACAGTCGCCGAAGCGCTTAGTAAAAATAAGGTAAGTCTGCAGTCAGAGGTATAAATTTAAATATTTTTATAATAATTTTTAAATTTAAATAAAAATAATGCTTTGATTTTATACCCCAGCGCCATATCGAGCTGTTCGTAACGGTCGGTGGCGAGTATAATTTCCCACATACTCGCGTCCCATTCCATAAGAATCCCTATTTGAATACAAAAAAAATGCTGAAGAAAGCTGTGGAACAGGCGCCGAAATGGGAGAATCCTGAGATGGTGATTAAAAGCATCAAAGTGTACTCCACTGACGAATCCGAAATATAAATATTACGTTTAAGCTCTATGAAATAGATGTCTTAATATTAAATTTATTACTTACTGTGAATTGTGTTAAATTTGCTTTTACTTGGAAAAATAACAAAATCAATGACCTATCTTTAAAAATAAATATACATATAAAATAAACAGCTTTCTCTGCTTAAACAACATATGTACGTACCAAGCTTTTGACCCCAGATTATCGCATTCCTCCGCCCAGTCAACAAAATTTTGGAAATATTCAAAGAGCATAGACTAGTCTTAGATTATCAGCCATGGAAATAGGTTGCGTTTTGATTTTTTTAGCAAATATTTTTCATCTCCTTGATGGCTTGAAGCTACCGATTGAAGGAGTAAGAGCTTACGGAGACAGTCTAGTTTTTCACTGGAAGCCTAATTTTAGCTCGATTTTCCTTCGAGCGGCCCTCGTCTCCGATGAGTGTGAAGTCAATAAATATGCCTACATTACTAACCCCACCGCATTAGACCACTTTTCGACAAATTTGAACTTTAAAAAGAATATAAAAACAGGTGATAAAGTGAGAGTTGAGTTGTTGGTGATGAATAAAGAACACATCGAAACCCAGAATGCAGTGTTAACGATAAGTTATTTACCTTTTGGAATTGATGTGACACCGAACATACCCTGTAAACCAACGCAAAAGGAAACCCAAACCGAGGGTCCGTCCAAGACCTGCGACAAGCTAATCTTCGAAGACAACTTTAACAACAATCAGAAACTTACGGATAAATGGGTTCATGAGGTTATGTATCGAAATTTTGCCCCTTATTATGAGTTTGTTGCCTTCGATTCAGATGCAATTAACTCCTACATATCCGATAATAAGCTGCACATAACTATGACAGATGGAATTAAGAAGGGGAGAGTTTATCTTGACAAATGCACTAGCAGATTAACGAACAAGAATGCGGAATATCAATGTGGATCAAAAAAAACACCGGTGTTTACTAAGCCTTACACAAAAAAATCCGCAAATTTATACAGCAAATTCAGTTTTAAATACGGTCGAATAGAGATCGGGGTCCAAATGCCAAGAGGTGATTGGATATTCCCAAGTAAGTTATATGAAAAAGTTAATTCCATTTCAAGTTAAAAACAATTTCCATAAATTTAAACACAACCTAATTGTTTTTGGCAGATATTCTTCTGGAACCCAACATAAAGAACAACCGAAACAATGGGTTTTCCAAGGATCAAATTCGTCTGTACTCGAGGGGCAATGAAGTGCTGCAGAACGAAAACTATATATTCTTCGATGGAAGATCTGTGTTCGGTAGTGTGGTGGTTTGGCATGACACGAACTTCTCAGAGTATTGGACCGTTAGGGAAAATAAAGATGAACTATATTACTATGATGCACCGTACAACTACACCATAATATGGCAAAAGGATATAATCTCCTTCATGGTTAATGGCCTTCACTTTGGGGATATTACCAACAAGACCCTACTTGAGCGATTCAACGAACACGAGGTGAGTTGTCTTCTATACAAATGTAACGCATCTAAAACGCATATTCTTTACTATTTAGTGTCGTATTGTCCTGGGCCTAACAGCCGGTGGTGTAATCAATTTTGATAATGAAGTTCTGTTAAAGCAAGACATGAAAAAGAAAAATTATTTTTTAGGAACCAATTTGCCCAACTCAGAAAATAATTTTATTGAGAAATATAAGGACACAGAGAAAACTCCACTAATAGTTGATTATATTCGTGTTTACAAACTTGACAACTGTTAAATTAATGATTTCAATTCATGATTAATAAATAAATACACTGAGTTCACTACAGACCCAAGCCTCGTTTCGTTATAAGAACGTTTTTAATTTCAATTTTTAAATGTTATATTGATTTTATTAAAGTCTTAGTTCATGGCAGATCCACCCATTCGGAGTTTAATCCTTATAAAATGCATAAGTACTAACTAGAAGGTTTTGCCATTGTTCTTTTTGGAGCCATTGTTCCTAGAGTTTTGCGTGGACTTCTTTTTGCGTTTGTCCGACGACCAGTCCACATCGTCCTCGTCGTCGGTCCCACCAGCATTGCCCGCGGCGTGCAGGTGGGTGGCACCCTCCTTGGTGGCCAGGCGACGGGAAGCAATACGAGATGAAATGCGGCCCATGCCCATGCACTTTTCGAGATGCGGAGCGAAGCGGGCGGCGGCCACCGGACGATCACAGTTGGGACAGGTGCAGTCCATCGGTTTCTTGGCAGTTGAAATGCCAAATATGTCCAGATTGGGCATCTCGCAGATGCGGTACGTAGAGTCCTCCGGCACTCCGTCCAGGGCCGCCAGATTCCCGGTTTTACGCAGATGATGTGTCTCAATAAAGATCCCGGCCACGGCGTCGTCGAGAAGGGTTTGATATAAATAATTGACCGCTTCGTCCAGGTTCTTTGGCTCCTTGATAAGCTCCCGGAATGTGTTCACTATGGCGGTACTGGTGGTTGTGGGATTTTGGTTTCCTGATCCTTGGGCACCCGGCGTAGTCGGCATGTTGGGTGCACTCGTTGACATACTAGTTGGGCCCAACAATGAGATTATTATTATTCTTTTTCGCTAAATTTGTTTTGCATGCCGGTACAAGGGAAAACAGTGTTGCCAGATGCCAGTTTGGTTTATAACCTAAAAAATCCTAAATCTATTGGTAAATGGAAATAGTCCGGTCTGGTCACACTAATACTATGGTTTTCAATTCGTAAACAAATTAACATTTGCAAAAATAAACAAATATATATATTAAATGTTGCTCAACACAAAGGCGCTCATGTACAAACAGCTGGTGGAGAAGCTGTACGACAAATGCCAGAGGATACAGGCGGAGAATGAGCGATGTGTGATGAGGTGAGCCCCAGCAATCCCAGTGATTCCTTCAAAATAAAACCAACATGTGCGATGACTTATACCCAGAGTTAATGGCATAAAAAAGATCGTGAAGCGTCGCAATCACGATGTGGAGCTACTAAAGAAGCGACTGGACAAGCACGGCGACAATTGGCGCTCCGTTCCGATGGTGGCACCGCATCCCAAGGGGAAAATGGAACAGAAACGACGCGGACCCAAACCCAAAAACAAAGCAGCCACCGAGGGAGGAGTGGGAGCAGCCACTACGGGAACCGGACCAGGAACCAATTCACCTGCTGTTCGCAAACCCAGGAAGCAGCGGGCAAAACTACAGCCACCTGGGACAAATCCCAGTCCGACTCTGCCGGCGCCACAACCGCAAACCTGATATTTAGGAGTATTTTTAAGTTTCAAAAGACTAATAGTACATTTACCATTTTATTAAGACAAAAAATTAAACCAAAAACTCTTTAACAATGATTGTGTAGAGATTCGGAAGAAGCTAAGCCGAAGCCCTCCAGATGGGCCTCAAGTTTCCCAACGTTAAATTTAGTTCTTAAAAAGCGGAGCATTCTCAATCACTGGCTGTTTTAACTTATTTATATTTTTGGGTTTTACTTAATTGCTAGAACATAGAAATTCAACGGGCAGATGTGGGGGATTCGCGTCGTTTATTCGGCCTGACGGAGGCGCGCCAGGCGCTGGGTCAGTTCGTCCTGCTCTTGGGACACAGCCGTGGAGGCACCGATTGTCTGGCTCTGGACTCCGCTGGGCAATTCCATGTTGAGCTCCAGCCCAGCCTCGTCGGCCACTTGTTGGAGCAGATTGTCAACATCGCCTTGGGGCACCGAGGTGGTCACCGTGTCCGACATGGTGCCCTCCATTACGGAGCTCTGGACGTCCAAATCCTCGAACTGTGACTCGAATTTTTCCATTAGCGAGGAGATCTTCTCCAGATTCATGCCCTTCATGGCTGCGTCCATAGCCTTGACCACGCCGGCCATAGAGCCGGTGACCTTGCGGGTGGTTAGCGCCGACTGAACCCTACTGGCCACCGCATCCACGCGAGCACTCATCCTGAGATAGTTCACAGCTTGGTTCTTCTGGCGAATGGCGTTCTCTGCATGGATACGGGCCACATCCATGTTGCCCTTTTGGATCGCCTTCTTGGCCTTGGCCTTCTCCAGCTTCTCCTCCTTCTCGCATTTCTTCGAGTTGCGTTCCAGCTCCTTCACCGCAAATTTTAGATTGAAAAGGTGTTCTGCAACAAGGGAAGAAATAGGTGTGGGTTTTTCCTGTTGGGAAGTCTGGCGTCATCGCCATCCGCTCCACTTACTTTCCATTGAACTCGTAGACATGTCGTTACCCAGCTTGATGAATTTCCTTTAGCGAATGAAGAATAAAAGTATCTGGCAGTTGGCTTTTAGCTTCAACTAACGATTTTTTTTATCAATTTACGTTGTTTTTTTACTCGAATGAATCACTCTGTTTGTCACAGTTGGTGTGACCGTGTACCGGGAATGCCCAGCTGTTTGGAGCGGCAGCTGGTCACACTTGTAGGTTGCCAGACTTCTTGAGGGTTGTAAACTTCGCTAAGCCCCGTTAAAAGTTAAAGCCTAGTACTCTGACGAGAAAAACCCGCTGTCTAAATTAGACAGCGGAATCGCTGTTTATTTCGCTACCGAGCTAGTGTGACCAAAAAAATTAAGGAAATTCCATGAAAATGTACTTTTTATGGCGTTTAAGGATTTTCCTTGGTCACACTGGACAGCTGTTTGTAAACAAATATTCAAAAAAAACATTAAAAATATTAATAAATATGGACTTAAAATGTCCTTTGTGGGTTAAATTCCATATTATAGGCTTCCCCTTGACAGCCCCTATCAATGCCACCTTTTTCCTTCAACTTTCCCTCCATTAGGGGTGTCTAAATAAATCAAATGAATTATTTAGACAGCTCGATATCAGCTGTTTACTATCTTGATCTGGCAACGCCATTCAATTTTCGCAGGCTTCATTTTCGTCGTCAGAGTACCGAAAAAAACGACGTGTCTAAAAGTTCTTCTTCTTTTTTTTCGACACCGTTTTTTTTATATGGAGTTTGGCCGCTGTCTAAATTTATACAGCGGATTTTTCTCGTCAGAGTACTAGGCTTAAAAATTTGAACTTTTGGTTTATTTATATACTTTTAACTTTTTTAACTTTAAAATCTTTTTAATATCTCACATCGGTGAACTTAAACCCAAGCGGAATATTGGGCATATAGAGAAACGTGGACTTGAAGACCTTCTCGGTGGGGTAATTGAATTCTATGTGAAAATTTCGCACCACATTGGCCACGGTCAGTTCCAGTTCGAGATCCACTATCCTCTTGCCTACGCACATGCGAGGTCCGAAGCCAAAGGGCAGGTAAACAAACGGATTCTTGCTGATGAGGGCCTCCGAACTGTCCTCGTCCGCATCCTTACGGCGCAGCCAACGCTCTGGGAGGAACTCCTCCGGCCGTGCGTAAAAGCTCTCATCCTTCAGCAGAAAAATGTTGCTCATCAGGAGGTGGGTACCCTTGGGGATGCGGAATCCGCCCAGCACTACATCCGCTCCGGCGGATCGCATATTTCCAAAGGTAACCGGGTACACACGCATGGACTCCTTGATGCAGGCCCTCAGATATGGCAGAGATTTCATCTCCTCCAGCGTAAATTCCCTATCTGGCGAAGGCAGCTTGGCCAGCAGTTCCTCCCTGAGCTTCTGTTGCTTCTCCGGATTCTTGGCCAGATTCAGCATTAGTCCAACTAAGGCCGATGTGGTGGTATCCACCCCGCCCATTAGCAGATCCATGGCCATGACAATGGCGAACTTTCTGTCCACCTGCAGCATTTGCTCCAGGATGCTCTTGTGCTCCTTGGAGTTGCCTTCCTTCGATTTCCTTTCGATCCTTTCTATAGCCTCGTTCACGTACAACGAGCAGGTGTCGAAGATCTCGTCAAAGGCCCGGCTAAACTTCCTGTAAGTGGGCGTGGAAATATACTTGTAAATCGAAGGCTTGAGGCCAAGTTCAAAGAACGCTTCCATGACGATATCAATGTTCTGAAAGAGTTTTCCGGCCTCAGCCGGCTGATTGGTTTTCCTCAGGAGCCCCAGTTCCTTGTCCAGGGCCACCGTGGCCACCGACTCGAAGGTCAGCTGCTTGATAGTGTGCACAAAGTCGGCCGGCACCTCCGCTGTCTCCCCATCTCGCAGCTCCCGGACGCGTTGGATGAACTGGCGATTAACTCGCTGCATGGGCTTCAGATAGACTGCCACATTGCGATGCTGCATGAGGACGGGATTGGCGGAGCTCCTGAGCTTACCCCACTGGGGGCCACTGAAAATAATATACATTTTTTAAAAACTATAAAACTATTTGATATTAATTATTATATACTTGCTGAACAATCCAACGCAGTCCTTGAAAAAACCATCCGGCCGGTTCTCGCGGTAGTGGAGCACGGGCTCAGCTCCACCTCTCACGGGCCACTGACCCTCGGTCCGAAAGACCTTCTCGAAGGTCTCCGCATTGAAGGCGATCACCGTGGAGGGCATGCCAAAGAGTCCGGGTATCATGCAGATCTCGCCGAACTGCTTCCTATACAGACGCATCAGCTCATCGAAATCCAGCTGGTGGTACTGGCCGCCTTTTTGGTAGCCGCGAAACAATTGCCATCTCGTGGGACCGGGAAGATCAGCAAAGGGTCTCGCCGTTTCCCACTCCGGATCCACTTGTTGAACCTGTTCCGGATTTCTGATAGCTGCCAGCTGGGAGCTCGCCCTCAAACCGTTTTTCACTGTCCGACGTAGCATTGCGAAGATCACTCGGCCGACTAACTTTCAGAAAGGTAAGCACCAAGACGTAGAAAACTTGTTTATAAATATTTGTAAGCTTTTAGGTAATTGCACAAGTCTAGGCAACAAAACACGAGAGCTTTCCATGGGGTTATCAGCGGAGCTTTGTTATCAATTTTGTTTGTTTGTTTATGATTGTAATTGTTTTGTTTATTGATTATTTATTTATTTTGGAATATAAGAAAAATTGCAAATAATAAAGCTGCTTGCAAAATATAAAATTATATAAAAAACCCTAGATATTAATAATGATTTTTATATAATTTTAAATTTAACTACAAATTTCCACTAATTCTTCTCAATAATATAGGTGATTATTCAGAATTTCGATATTTCGATCAAAAATTAGACTTTTAAAAATGATTTCTATCTATTTAAATTAGACTTTACAAAATCCTTCTCTTAAAACCTCTTAAAATCCAGCAGATTATTCTCAGAGTTGGCAAAATAATCAAAACTGGCAATTCAAAATTGGCTGTGGTCCTCCGTATAGCGGATTAAAGCGGCATAAATTGTGTTTCCACGTAGCAGGAGGGGGTTTTTTTCCAATTTCACTGGAATGTATTTACGGACGAGCACTAAGCACTCGACGCCACTGTGCCCCGTTGGCTATCAATAATATATGGGTCTCAAACGCTTGCATTGGAACACAAAGGACCAAAGCAAAACGCATTTTATGTGCATTTCAAAAACAATAAACCAAAACAAAAGGGCCAAATCGGCCGAGCACACACACTCATGGTGAAGGGTTAAACCCGAAACAATGGGGCGCGGGAGCATGGGCCATTGTTTTGACCAACTTTGCAGAGTCCCAGCTCCCCTTACTCCCAACAACCAAACCAAACTGACCACCAGAATGTATTACATATTAAGTCTGATAACACGTTTGCCGGCTTAAATTATAGCCGAGGCCCGTTATGGCCACAGCCACGCCCACTAGAAAAGAGGAGGGTGAGCTGGAAACTAAAAGCCGAAACTGCAATTTGCCTCGACTGGCACATATCCAAGGTAGCACTTTTACACTTACGCACTGGAATTTATCTGTTGGTGGCGGTTTGTGTTTTGTTAAATTGAATTGAATTAAATTAAATTAAATTAAATTAGGCATTTTATCAGGCATTAAATTAAACGTTTTAAAGTGCCTTTTCAACTTTTATATGTTAATGAAAATTTAAGGAATATTTTAGGTAAAATTAAACTTAAAATTTCCTTCTTTTTTACTTGAACAAATCGCATCCTTACCGCTTTATAATAAAGTATTCAGGTGGAAAAATGCAAATTATAAGCCCACAGTAAGTGAAGTAACCACCCTAAAGCATGTTGATATAAATTGTACACAAATTACACAATCGACCGCCAAACAAGCCGCAAAACTTTGCCAAATTAACTGCGACTGTGCGGCCCGAAACACATAAAAAAGTTTCCACATAAATTGTTGTAAAATATTATAAATATTGTTTGGACCACGCAAGGTGGTGGTCAGTCCCAAAATAAAATATACATATTTATTTGCATACATATATAATATATAAGCCGAGGATTATGGGCGTGTCGCCTAGTGACAATAAAAAGGTATTATCTATAACAATGGTATTGTATTTTTATGATTTACAGCAAATATAGTTGGGTATAAAACTTATTTTGGGGGCATTATTAGATTGTGGTCGGAAAAATCCATTTTAATATTTAATCTAAAACCAAAAGTTAAACCATTAAAGACCTTAACTCGCGACCGAAATCGATGTCAGGCCACTCGAAGGGTTTGCATTAATTTGCAATAACTCTTCCATTTGCCTGTCATAATCGAAATCTAGCCAAACTGTCACTTGAGTGGAAATGCTTTGACATTATCATAACTGCATCAGATGTTCAATAATTTTTCCCTCTCTTCCGCCTGCACTCTGCAAACGGAATCAGCCATGAAGACACCTAGAGACCAAAGGCAAACAGCCGGATTTCTTTCATCATCCTTTTTTGTAATTTTTTTCAGACTTTTAGCTCCTTCTTTTCTTGCTCTTTATCACGCGCCCAATTTAGCAACGAGGGGCAAAGGATGGCAGGACTTCCAGCTATCCAGATCCCAGACAACCCCAGACCTCGCCCACTTGCCACCCACTTTACAGCCCGCACTCAGCCAAAGGCAACGAAAGATTAAATCAGCGCAAAGTGCAAACACTGTGTCAAGTGTAGACCAAGCGCCAGGACCCGGCCAAAGACACACGCCACCGTTGGGCCATCGATAGGGCCATGCTTGTTGGCGGAAAAGAACCGAACCCGATCCGATCCGATCCGACACACTCACAAAATAAAACGGATAAATGTCAATCAAATTAACTGGCTATGCGATATGCAGCGATAGTGTGGAGCAGGTGGAGTCATGGTATCTCGTCCTTCGCTTCTTTGAAAAGGAGTTTTTCCTGCCTGGTCATAAATTAGTGCCTCAAGTCCTTTTGGGGGCCGTAAAGAGGAGTTTCTTGGGATTGAATGGGATTCACAGTGATTGCTACGATTTCATGTGAACTAAATTGAATAGTGAGCTTGAGACAATTCAATTGCATAAGCAAAAGTATGGGTAGGAATGGGGAGGAACTGGAAGTAAAGGTGGGCACAATCATTGGTCCTTGATAGGATTAATGATATTTATTTCTTAAAGGTAATATTCAAGTTAGAATTTGTAGTTTAAGTAATGGTAAACTAATATTTGATTACATTAAAAGTTAGTTAAAATATTTTAAATACTTTTTGTTCTTTATTACCTTAATTCTAACCCTGGTTAAGAATAATAATGCCAAAGTAGATTACATTCCTAAAGTCCCTACACCGACCATATGTATTTAAGTTACTAATTAAGACAACAACTGCTAAAAATCAACATGAAGAACGCGAGGCAAACATTAATTATTGCAGTTTTTCTATTTGCATACACTATATGCTACGCTGTTTGTGCGGAACTAAAGGCAAACAAATGTGGAAAACACTGAGTAATTAAGTTGCATATCAGGGAATGAATAAAAGGGAAAACTTTGTGAAATGTCTGTAAACAGGAAATGAGAATGAGCCCCTGCACCCGCTGCTTCCTGTGATTTTTTTTCCGCATTTTAAACGCTTGCAAGGAAGTTGCTTCGAGCAACAATTTAAGGCGCATTAACTGCAGGCAACAGGAAACCATTTCCGATATTCCTCTGATAATTACAAACAGACAGTGGTGGAGAGGAGAGTCAATAGGATCCCTGCCCCATCCGCTAACCGTCCGTCTCTCGTCCTGTCACAGTCAGTCATCAATCGGCCTCTCCATCCGATGACATGGTTGCCGCCCTTGGGCAACGCCCCCTGGCTAACCATAAACCATCGATTGTGGGTCAAATTGGGTTGATGCGACATGGAACTCTCGGATTCTTGAGCCTCTGCCCTCCGGATGACAGTCAACAATCGGAGGCAGCAGCACCACCATTACTGGCATAAACCACGCGTATTTACTGCGCAGCGGTTAATCAAATGTTTGACCCAAACAAAGGGCATACATATTCTCTTGATTGAGTACAGTCCTGGTAAAGGATACTTAATGTATTACATTTTCAAAGTACATATATCTTGGAGATTAATTTAAGGTATTGCTGAAATTGTTAACCAAGATCTCTCAAGTATGTATATATTTCCTTGTTTATTTTTGGGAATATGTTATCCCTTCCCAAAAGCTTTTTTCCATTAACCTAATTTCCGTTTTTTTTTTCCATTCTCTCCCAAAATAATTAATTCATTTAGTTGCACTTACCAATTTTCTTCCTAATTTTTGTGCTAACAAATCTGTCAAATGTGTGGGTGTCCTCGGCAATTAGCTGAGCTCCTGCTGAGAGCGATCTAGGCTTAACCACCCACCCACCAAACACCACAGCTTGCTCCAGATGCACTGCACCCGGGATTGGTTGGCTAAGGAGTAGTTTGGGTTGTCTGACTTGCACCACGATGCACGGCACGACATAGTTCCATTAAACTTTCGACGATAACGCGCCAAACTTTGCGCCCGGCGAAACTCTCAGTAATTTGCAGGAAGTCGGAGCATTCCCCTCCTCCTCCTTCGTTTTGGCCATAAGTTAGGCCCGGCACTAATCAAGCGCTGCATACCAGACCACGGCAAAGGCCGGGCGACTGCCCCACTGAGGCATTTATTAATAACGCGAACTTTAAATAACCCGCCAGAACTTAAGGCCGGGCAAACTGCTACCTACCTCTCTAGCCAGCAGGTCCTGCGCCTCTCTGCGGTTGCCTGATAATTGCGCATACGCCACGTTGGCGTTGGATCTGCACGCCCCGAAGCCACGGGGCTGGAGCGTTTGCCTGGGCATTTTCTGAATATCCGCAAATACTGCGGGACGTACTCTGCATAGTGAGCTCCTTGGGGGCTGCGGATATCCTGATCGCCATGGCCTGACAAGAAGCGTTGGTTAATTGTTGATATTTATGGGTGAGATAAAGATTTTAAGGAAAGCAGTGAGGATTTTATTTAAAATATGTTTTATTTTTAAAAGAAGGCGTTTGTAATGAAGATAAAAATAAGGTTTATAATATAAAATAAGCAAAATTTTATAGAGGTTTATATAGCTACAGAGGTTTTTATAATGGAAATCTTAAAATATAATTAAGAAAATATATTCAACTATAAGAAATGCCTTTAAAAATCTACATTTGTTATAAAAGGTAAAAGGATTCCCTATTTCAACCTCAAGAGGGCATTCCCCCGAAAGTGTTAACTTGCTTTCGTTTGTTAAAAGAGTTTACTTGGCCAACTGCAGCAACTGCAGTGAATTCGCAGCTGTTTGGATTGGGTGTTTGTATTGTTATTATTATTACGGCACATGTTGCCCAGATGGCCGCACAGGCCAAAAAGCTGGCCTTGTTCGGACCAAGGGCCAACTTGGCTTGCCGGGACTATCAATCTTTTGGCATGTTTTTCATTACTTTTAGTTTGTTGTTTTTTTTCTGTTTTTTTTTTTCTATTTGCTGGCATTCTGCCATGTTGCATTATCGTAAAATGGAATTTAAAATTTTCAGGCATTTTCGTAGCACTTTGCGGCACCTCTGGCCGCTTCGATTCGTGACTGAATTTTGGCCTTTGAGTGACTCCTGCGATGACTACGACTACTTCGATTGTTGCACCGGAAGCTACCCCCCCTTAACCTCTTCTGCAGGGTCATTTGCACTTGCCAGCACCCCACCTGTGATCCCTGTCGGCAGTTGTCCGTTGTTGATATTTGGCCAAAAACATTTCTCAAAAGAGTTCAACACGAAAATTGGCCAAAAAAGAGAGACCAACCGACCCACCAGACAAGCCACAAAAAGCAAAGCTGAAAAAAGAGCGAAAAGTATGCAGGAAAAACTTGATAGAATCTTCCCCGCCGCCTTTGTCACACTTTCCTCGGCCCAAACCGATTTTCCCCAACCCTTGTTTCCCCCGACATAGTTTGCCAAGTTTGTCGGCTTGCAGCTGCATTACATGTGGTTGGCGTGGAGCGGCATCGACAGCCGTTGCAAGCCCTTGTTTGTTGTGCTTGGCGAAAGTTTTGCCATTGGATGAAATCGGAGGGAGGAAGGGAGTTGAGTAGCTGATGGGTCTTAGCAAGGTCTTGAGGCAAAGATATCCTGACTGTGCCTTCGCAGACTGTTGCATGCGCTGCTCCAGCAAGAGAAACAAAAATAAAGTATTTTTTTAGAAGCATTAACTGGGCCTTTCTTAAATTTTTAAATTGTAAAAAAGGGTTTTAACTTACTTAAAATATTATTAAAATGAATTATATTTAATTCTGCTAAAAAACTAATGGAGAAAATATAGTAAGTAATAAACTGGAGTTGTTTAAGTTTATGAAAAATGGCAATAACAAACTTTAATTTGCTAAATTATATATTTTTAGTGTGAATAATTTATAAAAAATTAAATTATATATTTTTTTTCATCATAAATAATTTATAAAAATTAAATTAAGTTTAATCTTAATATTGTTATTATATATTTTTATTGAAAATCTTAATTATACTTTGAAAAATATAATATATTAAGCTTTTCTCTATTTTAACATTAAATTATCCTAAAATAACATCAACAAGAATCAAGCCAAGATGCAAACACATCCGGCTAAGCTCCGACTTCCCTTCATCGGTTGTCCAGAATGGCCTAAACAACTCGAATATGCAATTTTCTCCGAGTGCCAACTTCTTGCAGGCTCTCTCTCTCAGCCAGTCCGCAAACTTTTCTAATAACCTAAGATACTTGCAAACAGACACGCAGACAGGGAACGGGGACCGACAAAATGGAATAATATGTGCTACCGAAAAAAACAAGAAGCAAGCGCAAGAAGCTGAGCATCATCGATGTTCAGGCATATCAAATTGACGTGTGTTATTTTGGTAAAAAACTTTCAAGAAGATCGGCATTAAATTTGCAAAAGTAAACTGGCAGGGAGAGTTAGCCAGAGTGCGCATACGTGATATATTACCTCGCATTACGCGCAAATTGAAAAGCTCGATAAAATGAGGAATAGGTAAAGAACAATTGCAGGCCCAGGAAATATTATATTCCGCTTACGCAGGCAGTAGCTAAAGCAAAGGGAACTCGAGTTTAACTGCCACTCCGCCGTAGTTACGGCAAACTGTAAAATGAGATATTTTACAAGGACGCCGCGGCGTCCCTATTGTGTTAGTTTATTTGTGCAGTAGAAATTTATGAATCCATTTTTTAGTGCTCGCCCCATAAAAATTCAAATAAATAAATTGGCGAGGCGCAAGTGTTTTTTTCTTCCGCTGCTGCCATTTTTTCGCATTGCAATTTATCCCAATGTGCAATGAAATTGCAGGCAGTTAAATAAATGGCGAATTGATTGATTGAGCGCTTGATTGATGGCACTGGGGCTGTCGACGCCTAATGAGGAAACCATTTGCTGCCCTGAAAAGTATGCTATAAATATGTCGGAGCTGTTTAATTCTTTAGTGGCATTCGGGGAATTGCATTTCTATAGTTTTTTGTTTGTTTTATATAGATTAAAAATTCAATTTATGGATTATATTTTTGAATGGAAATCAATTGTAGTTGGGTATTATAATTTAAGTCAGAAGCTAGAAACATAGTGAAGGAATCATTTCCCACCCTATAAATAATATATATTCTTGATCAGCATCGAGAGGCGAAGCGTTTTAGACATGTCCGGAGGAAATCCATTTTTTAGTAATTTTTTCAAAATTTTATAAGGGGTTACATCATAAAAATTTTCAAAAATATAAAAAAATTTAATTTTTTTTTACTAATTAATTTAGTTTGCAGCTTTATTAATCTAATAAAAACGAACATAAACCTCCTTTCCGATGTAAAATTTATGCATTTTTGGCTTAGTTGTGATAGATTCCAGTTTGGTACCCTGATCTTAGTGCAAACTGGAAGGGTATACTATCTCGGTACGCCGAAGTTACCTTCCCTTCTTATTATGCATAAATTAAATGAGTTATTACTCGTTGATTAGTTCAAAAAATAATTATATAAAAATATCAAGTAGTATGGACTTAAAGAATGGAAATATATCACATTTTCTTGGGCACATAAGATGGCCAAAAAGCCAGTAATTGCCAAAATTCTTATTAATTTTCATTGACCCGTATAAAGATTACTTAAAATACTTTTGTAAACTTATGAAATATTTAATAAATAAGTCATACTATTACATCATAGTTGTCATACCTGTTTCTGGGAGATTTAACTATTGTCCATGAACTTCTCCCCTTATGACTGCCCTCAAATTTGTCAGTTAGTTTCCCCATCTTCCCCACAAAGTTACTTTCCCTCAGTTCTGCCTCTAATATGGCCAAAAGTTGCAACCAATTCAGCGAGCTGCAGCCAGGTAGACGCACACTCGCACACTGCCTAATGGCCGTGATAATGCCATGACAACTGTGCAAGCATCGCCGTAGCCCTCACCAAAAAGTTCTGCATTCGAAGCCACGAAACTATGCCAAAATTACTCAACGAGGTTGCAACACCTGCAACCTGGCAGTCGCCGATGCTCAGCAGGGAAAAGGAGGAGCTGGCTCAATTAGTTCGAACTTTTGGCCAGCAATTAGACGACGTGGAGTGCCCATGTTAATGGCCGGAAACTGAGGATGACACATGCCCAATGGGATTTGACTGTACCACCAGATTGTAGGTCCCAAAAGATGGAGGAATGCCAATCCATCTAGAATTTACGGATGCCAAAGAAAAAGAGGAGAAAGCGCAAAGAAAACTGCATTCTTAATATAAGCCAAAGTCCTTTCTGTGTGTTATTAGTCAAATTACAAAATAAAAAATTATTTTAAATTATTAAACACAATGGAGTGAGTCCAAATTTATATCAGTGACTAAAGGCTGTTTACATTTAAGCCAAATTCGAGGTAGCACAATTATCAAACTTATTATTATTGATGGACACACGGACAGAACGAACAGCAAGCTGGCGAAACGATTGGAAGATTCCAATGGCCAACAACAGATCGAACCAAAGTGGGTCTAACCAATGTCTGTTTTGTGACGATCTTAAGGCAATCATTTTCATTTCAGGTTATATCCACGTTGGTGGAGCGGCGGCGTGGCGGGCGCCATCACCCAGACGGTAACGGCTCCATTGGATCTGGTTGAGTCGCGCATGGTGACCATCAGAAAGGAAGTGGGTTTGGTGCGCTGTTTGCGTCGAGCTGTCCGGGAAAATGGTAACTATCAAATCTAAGCCCCAGGGAATTTTTATATATTTTTATTTAAGGGTTTTTATCCCTGTACGATGGCTTGGGCGCCCAGGTTCTGAGGCAGCTCACCTACACGACCGTGCGGTTTCACCTCTACGAATTGGGTAAAATGCAGGTGGACGAGTGCAGCTTTTTGAAGAAGGTTGGCATCGCCACTATGGCGGGTTGTTTGGCGGGTGCGGTGGGCATTCCCACGGAGCTGGTCAATACGCGGATGCAGGTGGACCGAGCTCTGCCCAGCCATATGCGCCGGAACTACCGCAATGTCTTTCATGGACTGTACCGTGTGGCCAAGGACGAGGGCTACAAGGCGCTCTACAGCAGCTTCGTGCTCACGTGCGTAAGATCAGCACTTACCACCATCGGTCAGAATGCGATCTATGATCAGGTGAAGATTTTCTTATTGACTACAAACTCAATTTATTATCATTAATCCTTCGTATGTGCAGGCCAAGGAGAACTACATGCAGTACTTTAAACTCAAACATGACAGCACCCTTCTGCATCTGATGAGTTCAGTGACTGCTGTCTCTGTGTTTGGACCCATAATTCAGCCTCTGGAGAACATAAGAACGATCAAGATGGTGAAAAACATGAGCCTAAAGGCTTCCATTTTCCATTTAATGAGCTTTGGGCCACTCGGACCGTTCCGTGGAATGGTGCCATCCATGTTGCGACTAGTGCCCAATACAGTCCTCACATTTCTGCTCTACGAGAAGATCCGGATTCACTTTGGATACTACGCGGCGAGCAAGGCCTGTAGTCAGTAATTGAAGAGGTGTGTGTATGCATTTGGAGGCTATGTTTACATTTTTCTATTTATGAAATTCGGGGAATTGTAGTAGAATTTTGTAAAAATATCCCCCAAAGGTATGTCAATATAATATATATATTTCTGTTTCTGTTTATATTTATATTACCTCGATTTTACTATATTTTTTATCTACTGGCTATTGGAATAAGGCCAAGTAAACCTCTAAGCTAATGGCTAAGCCAGCTTTTAACTAGTCAGATTATTCAAACACTTGCATTGCCACCCACTTGTTTCCACCTGTGACCCCAATGTGGCCACCAGTGTCGTCCACTGCTCAAATAATTGGACACTTCCTGACTCCTGACTCTGGTTTATATTTGTGAAACAATCTCGGCCAGTGCTCAACTCAAATAAACGGGGCATGTGTGTAGTACCTTCATAAAGCATTCAATTCCACATTGATTGCATACACACACACATCGACCGCACGCAGAAGCCACACCGAAAACGGGTCAACGGTGCGTATGCGTTATATTTAATAATGCAAAACGATGCGAGCCAGCCACGACGACGACCACGACCAAAAACGGCTGCATAAATTCAAGCTATGCAAATGGTTTTAATGGCAAACAAAGTGTGCTAGCCGAGCGACTAATAACCAGTCGAGCGACATAGAAAACAACGCAGCCAGAACGCAGGCCAACCACTTCACCTCGCCAGCCTTGTCTTTCAACCGCCAGCAGGAACCCGAACTCATCGTCGATGCAATCGCAAGTCAGTCATAAACTTGGCCCTTAGCATTTATGCAAATCGTGAGAGCCACGACCAAGTGTTTGGGAAAGGGAAGAGTCATGGCATAGCTACACTAAACGGAAGGGGAATTGGTTTTCTTTAGAAAACCTTTGATTGCATACTTCTGTATTTGGCATGGATTTATCTTAAGTTATAATTATTTTTCACACCGTCACCTTTTTAAATAACTTTCTATTCTAAATACTCTTAAGTTCTCCCCTAAAAATAAATGTTTATTTATATCCAGTTTAGAATTTTCCACTTTTCCTCTCTGTAAGCTATATCTACAAGTGCGATTTGAGTGTTTCATGGGGATAGGGCAACCTTAGGGCTCTAATTCAGTTTCATTGCGTCGCATTATTCTTATTTTTCCGCGTTGGCGGCCTCCTAAAATTGCCTACTTACAAATTCAATTTCCACAATGATTGCAATCACGATTAAAGGGTAGCCGGGAGTGTGTGTAGGAGTGTGTGCCAGTGCCTGTGTCCTCCATATGGTTCGCCCTATTCAAACCCAACGACAATGCCGTCCATACGTGCAACATTTACCGTCGCTTACGTGACACGACACCCACACAAAATGGCGCTGGGATGGATGTTAGTGGAACGTTATGGCGGATTCCGCCATTGCTGTCTGGGCATTGTTGCTCATACGCCTAGTTGTCATCGTGCCGGCATCTAAACTAGAACTATACACACAGCACGTGCTGGCATTTAGCCCCAACTTTGCTGGCACAACTGCGTCCACCGCCTTGTCAAGGAGTTGGACAAATTAATGTTCATTAGTCACGTTGCGAGTTGTAATCAATTTATAATGCGACCAGTTGCGGTTGATGTTTTCCCTTTAGGAAGAGAGGTTCTAAGGGTCAACGATCGCTGGTAAATGGAAAAAGAAAGGGATTTTTTGTTTATACATTCACATATTTACTTCCTGGACACTGAAAGGTTTACCTATTGAAACTAACTTGGTAATTTAATAAACTTAATTAAAAGAACATAGAACTAGGGTTAACTTGACTTAACTTTCTTTACCTTACAATCTAAGCCACCATTTTCTTGACTCTCTATTTAGGCCCCAAATCAAGGAGCTCATTGTTCTTAATTTTTATCGCACGTCCTCAGCAGGAGCTAAACTTCAATAACTGCTGCCCGCTAATAGGACACATCAACTCCACTCACACCGACCGCCGCCCATTGAAGGACACTCTGGCAGCTTACAAATCTAAACAAGCTCAGTTTTGCCCAGTTGCATAAGTTTACAGTTACCATTCAGCCACTCCTCCCGCGACCCCATGCAACCCGCTGCATTCCAGTGGGTCTCCAACTACATTCCTCCAGCGAAACTTTTCGCCGCGCGACTTGGTCGTGCGCACACTTTTTAGCCTCTGCCCGGAGCACGTACTGAACTTACCACCCACACCTGTCCAATCACCTGTGAGTGTGTGTGTGTGTGATGGAGCTGGGAGGATGCACCAGGCACCGCCCGCTGGGCGCCCGCAAAGGTTTCACCGCTCGCTCGCTGTCCCAATGACGATGACATAATAAACGAGGTTACCAGCAGCGAACTTGCTCCTCTACTTTGTCCTGCCCAAAGTTCTCGCTTCCATTTCGAGGGCATACCCTTTCAAAGGGTTCAGGGAGATTTTTCTGGGAGTTGGGAGTCTGGAAAAATTCTTCTTGAAATTTTACAAGAATTTTAGAAACAAATCTTAGGCAGTTTATATAAGAAATAATATTTTAAAAATATTATTTTTAGTTAGAAAAAATCTGTCTTCTTCAAATTTCTCTATTTTCAAATTATAAAAACTCTTTTAGAGTATTTGCTAGTTTATCATACCCACCTTTCTGCACCTTTTTTCTGTGCTGGCTCTCCAGCTAATGTCGGACATTTGTCGCTGTCCTTGCAACCCATCCTATTTTGCATACTCGACACGCTCTGTTGGACCTCTGCTGTCCTACCTCTCCTCGATTTCCGGCATTTTCCCGCTCCGCCCCCCCTCCACCTCCTGCAGCGTTACAAGAGGAATTGACAAGTTTTTGTCACGTTTTCGGTGGCGTTGGAAATTCGTGCAACTTTTTAGCAACACGCACTTATCAAAAGTGGCTTCGACTTTTGTGCCAAAAGAGTAAATGAGGCGTCTTCAGCGAGCGAGCAAAGGGGGGGGGAGTGGAGTAATGCACCTGACCAGGCCCAGCTAACTTTTCTAATTAAATTCTACAAAAAAAAAAATAAAAAACCACAATACACACACACACGTACTGCTTTGTTGGAGGAAGCTGAAAAAGCAGTTGGCAAGTTGACACTCGCTTATCATTTCCGTTTCCGGCATGGCATAGTGGGACAACCACATGACGACGTCCGCTGTCCCTTTTTTAAACAGGGTACCAGCAGAGTTCCTGGTACTTTGTTGTGGAGTTTTTAGATTTAAATGGAACAGGAAGAGAGTACATATATGGGCAGTGCTTTGATTTTAAAGAAGAAAGGCTCATTTTACTATACAAAAACTAAGGAAAAACTATAGAATAATTAGCAAACTATTGTTTAAAAGTATAAATATTTTAGTTAAATAAAAAAGTCATAAAGTGAAAGACAGTTAATGACTAAATGACTAAAATTAAAAAACAAAATAATACACATTTCCCTGCTTCCTGTCTTTTGACCCTTAAAAGAATTAAAAGCAAAAAAACCGGGTATTAAATGTTCGTGTCTGGCTTCGCTGCTCGACTGTGGTATTTATAATGAAAGAGGTGGCAATAAGGAGGTGGCGAAAGCGGGAACATTTTAATTGTCAACGCCCGGCAGTGCTTAAGTGGCTCGGGAATGCGATTGCAGCTGGGCAATCATTAATTGGCATTACCGAGGGCGACAAACTCTTTTCCACACCTCGACTCCCCACTCCGCACCCCGGCACATCGCCTGATGAATAGTGCTTAATTGCAATTCATTTGATATTGACACTTTCGAGTGGCTCTTGTCCGGTTTTCTGCTGCTGCCTACTCGAAGACGCGCTCGGCCATGCCAAATTGTCATTGATTAATGTCACGAGTCCCAAGAAGGAGCGGGGTGAGTGAGCACCGAAAGTTGGTGCCTCGAGTGCAAAGCAATTAATTTTCCGTATGCACTCGAATGGAAACTGAAGAGCTCGCACATACGACGATTAAACGGGGTATATAACCCACTACCAACTTGCACTAACCACTATATATACACCTATTTATAGGATATATAATCACCGCTTGGCATGCCAGAAGTAATCCAAGAAATTATGATGTTATGGCGTGTCCGAAATATTTGATTTCTTTCTTTAAAATTAACTAAATTCTATTTAATTTACTTTAACCAACTTCCAATTATGTACTTGGCTAGTGACCCAGCTAGATCAGCTTACCTGGGTTCAAGTGCCAGCCTGCCAGGTGAGTTCATTGTCCCGACGCACAGTAGCGCCTTTTCTCATTTTACGTTGCAAAAATCATAACTTTTGAACAAAACAAGATAACTAAATAATTTAAACGCCATTTGATAGGTAATTGTTGTAAAATTAACATATGTATTGGAAAATCTGCCACGCCCACTCATTCGCCTTTTTAAAGGGTATCAAAGTGAAGAAATATTTTTTTCTCAATGAAGACAATTTTTTAAAAATATTTTTTATTTAATTTTTTATCTTTATTTTGATGTATTTGCTTAAATAAAAATAATTTGAAAACTGGAAAAAAAAATTTTTTTGTTCTATGTTTAACCGCCACAGAACCGTGAGCGCTACAGTTAGTATTTTTTGTTGGTTTGTATGAAATTGTGTCGGTATTTTGGTATATTTTACCCTGAGTTGTTTCAGTGTTTTGCTTCGCAATGCCAGAGTCGCAGCTGGACGCAGACTTTCTAAACGGATTCTGATTCAGGAAAGATACACGCAGTGCGTAGTCATAGTGTAGTCGCCGGCTCTGGGCAGCTTCAGAAGTTATAGACTACTTTAGCTAGAAAAAGGTGAAAATAATGGACACCTGGCAGGTAGCGATTTACCTGTACAAGCCCACACAAAACTACCTTTTTTTTAATTTGAATAAGAGGTAATGAATATACCTATCATTTAAAAAAAAATTCAAGACCATTGGTTATGTAGTTTTTGTGTAATATTACCTGAAAGTCGACTAATTGACCTATTTTTTGTTGTATGACGCATACACGGAAAACAATTTCGACTTTGAATGCTCATATCTTCCTCAAAAAAAATCTGAAAATTTTTTTGGTTACAGATTCGGAATCCTTGGGAAATTCTCTGTCGATTTCTTATAGTTTAAATCGATTTTGCGATTATGACTTTTTCGATTTTTGCA